TTGTGATCGGAGACAGACGTAATCGATTCCTAACCAATCCTATCGAATATCAGTACTTCTGTTCAGTTCAGAAGTCGTGGGTTAAAGACATTCACGACTACATCAGGGAATGTATGCCTAAATTCTCAACACAAAAACTAATGACCAGAAAATTAGCGAATCAAATACAAATACAGGCAAATAAGTTATGCGATTCACAGACATTCACTGCTCAGCAATTGTTTCTAAACAGCTTTTGTTTAAATAAGGTATTATTCAATACATCACACTACATGTACCCAAACAACAAATCAAACATTATCTATAATTCAATTACTTATTAGTAAGTTATTAGACTAAATTACAAGTAATAACGATTACATGATTATTAGTGTTGTTAATTTCATGAAATATAAAATTATATATTTCATGTTGCTGTCATATCACGTTATAAAATGAAATATAGTGAAATCTCTCTATAGAAAGGCTAAATTTAGCCCTAAAAGTTTCCCAATCCTTCATAACCCTTTAGTTAAATTAATTATGAATTTAGAGCATGATAGAAGCATGTATTATAATTAATAGTATAATACAATCAAAAATTAAAGCTAAAATATTTTTTATTGTAATTACTCGAAACACAAATAAATTTTATTGTAGATTTTTAGCATTGTACCAATATAAAATAAAAGTTATACAAATTTACACAAAAGTTTCAATCAATAACCCATTGTTAACATTAAGATAATTTTCTTAACCACAATTTTAGCCGTAAATATAAGTAATATTGATAATTATATAATAATAAACTATATTTTGATTCAACTACTATAATGTTAATTATTCGCAAACAGGTAATCAATGAATTGCATAATTGTATGGAAGATATGATTGATTACATGAGTTATGTGGAGCACAGGGTTATGGGAATCGAGAAGTTAACACATCTCTGTTGGTAAACACATTAATCATATGCTTTTAGTGTACACTTTATTCATTACAATGTATTCAAACACTATCCCTGAATGTGTGATAATTAATTAAATGCCATAATTAATGCAATTTAACCATTGGTTTGTAAATTAAGCGCTAATTCTATGAAAGAAAGTTCATTCAATTCTTTTAGTATATTATATAACGTAAAGTCAATAGAAAATAGTTGTTTGAATTATAAATTGAAAAATTCCTCTGAAAATAATAAATTACTTTTAATTGTTTGAATTTGCATAAAACTAACACTTTATAAATGTATGAATTAATTAATTATATAATTTTGAATCATATTTTAGCAGTTATCTAGAGATGAGGAACTGTAGCCGACATATACTGTACTCTTCATTGAAACACTCGTGTCATCCGACGATTGAATGGTTTGATAAACTCATGTCCGGATATAGTCTTAGATTTTTCAAACAATTCTGTGTAACGCAAGACAATTGTTCCCAAAATATATGCCATTCTTTGACTAAATTTGATAAAAACTTATTTAAAACTTATGCCAAACACAGAGACAAATCCATTTTACCCGTCATTATGAAGATTATGTTAACTACAGATATTTGACTCAATCAAGTGGTCATCAAATTTAAAGTTCCTTTTAATGAATATTTTATAATGTAATTGTATTTTAAATAAATCTAATTATTTTATTGTTATTAACTAATTCAGACTATAAACTATTTTCTATAATTAGTCTATTTTGTAAGTTTATTGAATTGTTTCCTAGATCAAAAACTGACAATTGTTTTCATAAATTCAATATTTGTAAAGTAATATCATAATGGACCTTGTTCAATACATAATAATTACTGACATTCAAACTAATGAAACAACTTTTGAAAACTTTTTAACAAGCACGAACTTTCTCTTAATTGTAATTAACTCTCAATAATTATTAACAAAACATGAATTTCATATTTCATTTGACTTCTATATAATACAACTTATTTGTGACAAAACCTAATCAGAAAACATAACTTTCATTAATTTGAAACACAATTAAATGCCAATTAATTGAAATATTTGTGCCATTCCTGGCATTCATTGCCATTCAATGCATTCATTTCTAGTGATCTTAAAAATGGCATTTATAAAAATAAATGGCTTGTCGGGCACATTCCCAGTCGGGCATATTCCCGATAAATGCCTTCAAAAATAAATAAATGCCCATCTTAACTAGATGGCAGCACCGC